CGAAGATTTATTACTATAATAATATATTTATTATAATATAATAATATAATAATATATTTATTATAATATAATAATATAATAATATATTTATTATAATACAATAATATAATAATATATTTATTATTATAATATAAATCGTACGAAATTGAAATAAATCCAGTCTTGGCATTATTACAAAACGGTATGCGTTAGGTATACGTTAAATGCGTTTTATTGTTGATGAAACCGGTAAATGTCGAAATTTATTCGCCGGAAGCTAGATGGACAAATAAATATTTATACTCCGGTTCCGGGCGTTAATTTCGTTCTTCCCACGAACGTATAGAATCCTCCGCATCGTGTTTTCGCAAATTATTTACGCACAATATTCTCGTTGTTCGTGAAACTGACCGCGTCGCTCGCATGTTTCAGAAGCCGACATGAGCAACGCCGTCGATCCGAAGGCCTTCTTCACGTCCGCGAAGGACAACCTGACGCAGATCGTCTGGGCCCATGCAGTGAACAGCGCGAAGGACCTGGAAGATAATCTTGCGAAGAGTAAGTATTCCTTTGGAGCATCGAAAAAATAGGATCGCGACTCGGCTTCGCTTGCAGTCGCTGCGAAACGCAGGACGCGTTCTTGTTGCCAAGCAAGCGAATGTCGAACGCGATATCAGGGGCCCGCGGTTAAACTTCCGCCACGTGACCAATGATTATCGATTCGACCCTTCCGAGATAAGAGTTATCAGGCGGAGCAACGTTTGCCAGGATCGATCCCAGAAGAACGAGGTACGATGCGCGACGAGAGTTCGGTTTCCGATGAAAAATTCATTTGCGTCCGGGACAGCCTCTGTCGTCCGTTCCTCATCGGTCCGCGAAGCCTTACTGGCGTATGCCTATAGCTACAGCTGACGCCAATGTGGCGTCAGTGAACTCTGCTAGCACAAATTGTAAAACGTGAACGGATTCCATCGACGTTCTCTCCTCGGACCTTCGAACAGTCTTGAATGTTCTCAGCCTGCGAAATTTTAGCAACGAACGATTATATTTCGATTAGAATTTTTGCTTTTCTGCAAGCTTCCTTTTCGATGAACTAGAGAATTTAATAGATTGCAGAAGAAACAGTTGAACGAGACTACATGTTTGTTAACACGTTCGCCAACAGCGTCGCGAATCTCGATTTTGTATTTCCTTTGAAAAAGGAATTTTGTGAATATAATTATTAAAAATTGAGACACGTAGCACGATGCTTAGCGAATTTATAGCTTTTCTCTATGGCGGCATTTTTATCGTATGTTATAAGAGGATGCAATGTGTTTAATACGTAGCGAACGTGTTTTAAAGTTTCTCGATATCTTCGAAAAGAACGGAGACATTTAGGTGGCCTCCTTCAGGCGAAGCACTTTGTACACTCGCATAAAAGAATTGAAAACCGCGCGTTTCTTATTTCGTGCCGTTCCAAGCGATTGCAACTAAAAAGGAGTCGTAGACATTGTCTAGTAAAATATTAGGTCGAGTCCTAGATTCGTGCCGCGAATGTTTAGACTATTTTCGTGGCACGGTCAATTGATTTTGTGAAGGAAATTCTTGTCTTGAAGACAAGTGCAATAATTTCTTTATAATTCGTGCTCAGATTGCGCACAAAAATGGACAATTTGGGAAGAGGAGATACGATCATTTTTATATTATGTTATATTATTTTTAATTTATGATCATTTTATTTGTTATCGTTGCCGATTGTCAACAACTATAAAAACGAGGCGCGAGGATCGAATAATCGTAATCTCCTCCTCCCAAATTGTCCCTTCTTGTGCGCAATCTGAGCGCGAATTAGGGAGAATTTACTGTAATCGTATCTTCTATTTCAACATTGTCCATTTTTGTGCATAGTCTAAGCGCGAATTAGGGAGAATTTACTGTAATCGTATCTCCTCTTCTCAAATTATCCATTTCTGTGTATAATCTGAGCGCGAATTAGGGAGAATTTACTGCAATCGTATCTTCTCTTCACAAATTATTAATTTCTGTGCACAATCTGAGCGCGAATTAGGGAGAATTTACTCTAATCGTATCTCTTCTTCCCAAATTGTCCATTTTTGTGCACAGTCCAAGCGCGAATTAGAGCGAATTTACTATAATCGTATCTCCTCTTCCAAAATTGTCCATTTCTGTGCACAATCTAAGCGCGAATTAAGGAGAATTTACTGTAATCGTATCTCCTCTTCCAAAATTGTCCATTTCTGTGCACAAACTAAGCGCGAATTAGGGAGAATTTACTATAATCGTATCTCCTCTTCCCAAATTATTCATTTCTGTGCACAATCTGAGCGCGAATTAGGGAGAATTTACTATAATCGTATCTCTTCTTCCCAAATTGTCCATTTTTGTGCACAGTCCAAGCGCGAATTAGAGCGAATTTACTATAATCGTATCTCTTCTTCCCAAATTGTCCATTTCTGTGCACAATCTAAGCGCGAATTAGGGAGAATTTACTATAATCGTATCTCCTCTTCCAAAATCGTCCATTTCTGTGCGCAATCTGGGCGCGAATCGGGGTGAAATCATCGTATCTGCTGTCGCGTCGCGACAAAATACAAGTCGGATGATCGGAAACCGCGATGAATGGTTAATTAACACGTCGAACGAAAGAGCGTCCACGGTGGAAGCGACGCGGATCCGGTGTTAACGAACTCCCGTCGTAACGAGGAGTATAGTTCCATCGTGGTGTGCCAGAAATCGTTGCCAAGTTTTCGCGTTACTATGCCGTCGCGAGCGAACGCGTGCAACAAGCCGGGGGCCGGCGAGCGGGAAATGGTGTTTGCCGTGGACAAACGGCGGTAACGTCGCTAATTATCGTCCGCAAATGTTTCACGGGGACGAACGGCTGCCGGTCGAAGGCCGTCCGCGAAATTCTATTTGGGACACGCGTCGTCGAGATACCGGATGCGCCGTGTGCCCGCGGCTGATTAATATTCAGGGAAACGAGGCTTGTTGCTCACGTCCGCGAAAGATCTTCGGGAAAGAGACTGGCTGTGCCCTCGGAATCCGCAATGAGGGCTCGAGAGGGCAGCAGGAGGATACCTAGTGGAAGGTCAGTCATCGTACACGCGCGACCTTGATCCGAGGATCGTGCGATCGATCGAGGAAACCGCCGGGAACGGTCGGACAGCCGGCTAGAAACACAGCCGCGTCGCGGAAAAATCGAATTCGAGAAATTCTTGTACGAAAATGTATCGATCGAAATAATCGGGTTCGCGCGACATTTTTGTACACATTGCCCGACGAAGCCTTTCCACGTTTCGAAATCAGAAATATATTAATCAGGGTGGTGGAGCCGGTTATACTGCGGGACGACCAATTGCTGTGCCATTGGTTTGTTTTCGGTCACAATTAACGCTGATTCTACCAAGCCAGTCAAAATGACCGGTTCCACGGTTTCGCATTTGACATTTGCTGAAATTATAAAGATCTCTTTCATAGGAAATGAGCGAATAACGCGTTTCTTAACACTAGATGTACGGAGTACAAAAAACAGCTGTTTCGTATTAGTTTATAAAAGTAACAATAAGACATTTATTCTGATTTCTGACAAGTATTATTGTAAGTAACATATAAATTGAATAAATAACTCATAAATGTATCTTTACGCGATATGAATAATCGTAAATTAAAAAACTTCCGTAAATCTAGTGTTAGTATACAAAAAATTGTGATGAGTCCAAATAAATCCGGTGCCTGTTATTCTTACGGAGCAACACGTATTTGTCGCTTTTAATGATAGATTTAGTGTTAAATTTATATTCATTGAACAGGATATGCACAATTTTTTTATTCTCGTCTATCGTCACACAGAAATTCAGGTGCATAGTGCACAAAGATAGCTATAATATTTGCGACAAATTTCATTTTAATAGATCTGAAAGTTGCCGTCGGGAAAATTCCCGTAATGCATCCGCTTTTATAAAATCGAAATGTAAAACGCATGAAAAACGAAAGACTGAGTAAGTAACACATGGCTGCTAATACCTCTAAATTACATATTTACGTATGGTATTTAATTATAATATAAAGACCAAACCAAAAATGTCTCATGCTTCAAACATGATAATTTTGTTGTGTTCAACTTACTGATGATTTTCAAGTTTGTTGTAAAGATACGAATCACAAAATGCACACCATCTGCTCTAAACAATATTGATCGATATGTATAAAATGACATTGAACTGTCAAACGCACCTGACAAATTCTTCGCGCCAATTGGTGTACGTAAAATTCCAAAATCTCCAAATGGGGATCGTGGCAGTTAATGGATTAACAACCAGTTGCACATGCATCGTTATAAAATTATGAGGATCCTTTCATACCAGAAGATCGAATCTTCGTTCTAGCACGCGTTTCTGCAGAAATGTCGGAAAGCTTATATAAATTCAATCTTTTAATGCTCGATAAGTTTCGGCGTCGTCACCGTCGGCAGGCTTTCCCGGAGACCTTGACAAGACTGAAACTTTCGTGTCGCATACCGAAAACACGGTATCGGAGGAATCTTCTTGATTCTACAGGGTGTCCCAAAAATGTCTCGCAATCTGGAAATGGGGAATTCCTGAGGCGATTTGAAGTAACTTTTTCCTTAGCGAAAATGCGATCCGCGGCTTCGTTTACGAGTTATCGACGAAAAACAGTGACCAATGAGAGACGAGATCGGCTGACGCGGATCAGCTGATGCCAACGAGCGGAACTGGGCTTTCGTGCGCTCGTTGGCTGGGCCGCCTCGCGCCGGGAGAGCCCGTCTCTCATTGGTCGCTGCTTTTCCTTAATAACTCGTAAACAAAGCAGCGGATCGCGTTCTCGCTAAGGAAAAAGTTACTTCGAATAATCTCAGGAAGAGGTTTTTTTTGGGACAGCCTGTAAAACGACGTGTGTATTGGAGACAGAGGCGACCGGGAAAGTAGAATCCGTGGCTGGTTTCTAGCGTCTTTAGGCCTGATCGATATTCACGTTGCACGTGCGTGCAGCGCGACAAAGTCGTTCGCGTTCGACTTTCTCGCTTTTCCTTCCTGGCTTTTCGTCGTCTCTCCTCTCCCCCACTCTCCTGACTCCGCCGCCCAGCGCACAAACGGACAGACAGACGCACACAACATCGCATTATTAGAAATACTGAAACTTATAGAAAATATTTAAGAAGCTATAAATAAAATTTAAATAATTTAAATATAATATAATAATATAATAATATATAATTAATAATAATTGTAATATAATATATATATATATATATATATATATATATATATATATATA